TGATTTTGGCAGCACTAGGAGGCTGAATGTTGGACAAACGACACAAGCCGTTTGCTAAATCTCGTCGAAGAGCATCGATATTGTCCTTGATGAATGGTGCTATGTCCATGGATGTATTCGCACTCTTCAGGATAACCCTCAGTTGATCACAGAAAGCGGAAGCGTCAAGGTCTGCATTCTGTGGGAAAGAGAAAGCAACACGGGAAAATAAGATCGATAGATATGGTCAGCACGATAAAAAATTGGGCTATGGGTGAGATAGGATTTATTGGACCGGGGAACAACGATGACGACAATGATAATAATAATAATAATAAACTGAAAGTGAATGAAACATTTTCATTGTGCATGTGAAGAGTTCGAGAAGACATCCTTTTGTATATCTTCCATGAAACCGTAATACTACGGATGTGGCGAAGAGCGCATGCATAAAATCGGTTGTTAGTACCTTTTATTGCTGCGAATGGTACGGGCATTAGTAATGCACCAATCGACTGCTGGATTTGTTCATTCGATTTGTCCTTGTGTGCTCGTCAAGCGGATTTCCCTGAGCGAAATACACTGAAACCGCTGTGTCACACGACTTGGTGATGACTATTTCGAACCTTTTTTACACAGACGAGGATACATGGCAACTACGAGGCTATTCTGTGGATAAGAGAAATTCCAACACAGGGGTGTAGAAAACGTTCGATGTTCTTGTACTGAGATTAGCTGAGAAACATGGGCCGGCAGATGAGGAACCACAGCGGAAAGTTACGAAAAGCGAGAGTAACAATAAAATCGGCAGAAAGGAGGTAGGGAAATCACACGTAGTGACGGTCCATAAGATAAATGGCACTACAATAAATCTGAAAGTAGTCAAAAGGTAGACCAACTTTTGCATACACATATGGCTACTATCTTTCACAGGGAAAGAGAACACTGGACAATGTAGCACGAGGATTGGGAGAGAACCGAACCGATTTTCGATGATACGCGAGAGAAAAAACAAAGACCAAACGCCACATACAACCACAGAGATGGTGTGAAATAAAGTGAACCGAAGGGAGCAGTGTGTGTGTGTGTGTGTTTGTACCAGATACAAAGCAACCGAATGCTTCGGAGTCCACGGGATTTCCGACAATAGTTAAACAGAAGCAAGCCATAGAACAATCACCACTGGAAGCGGTAAGGAGAGTTGAAGGTGAACAACGCACAAAAATATTGATTGCACTGCTCGCTCACACTTACACCGAATACCATTTACTTCAGATTAATTATCGTGACAGAGTGAAATGTGGTGAAGTGAACTTTATTGATAGTTGCTATGCCGACAAGTCGCACAAAGCATGACCAATAAAAGTGAAGGAAAACTCCGTTCGCTTGGACACTGAGGGCGGGGGAGCGAATCAATGTTACAAACTGTTTTTCTATGCTCTTTATGTTCACCCACTTCGTTCTTTTAGGATGTATATACACATGCAAATAAATGAATGCATACATCAGAGATTCTCAACATTTCCCCCCATATATTTGCATGAGGTAAGAAGACTAGAAAATAAAGATTACGGCTTAACACAAACACGACCAAGACAGATTGCATTCTGATGTACGCCTGCAATCACCTGTTTCGTCAAACATAAATTTGTGTTTAAGCTCTATTCCGCTGTGTGAGAACACCCACTCGTAGCACATCGGAGGTAGGGACACCAGAAGCAACTCCGCTGTTTCAACTATTATTAGTTAACGCATGTAGACGGGCCTCTACCAATGCGTGCACATCACGGATAGAAAAGAACTTCGACGCACAGAACGAATCAAGATCAAGCTAGTCCAAGTCGAGTGTAGTATTCGTCATCCCCCTGACCATGCGGTGTTGTAAACACATACCGATGAAGTGAACGGCGACGGGCTTAACGGTCAGAAAATCAACTGATTGCGAAACCTTCTCCATTATTCTTTAGTTCACGCTGAGATCTGGCGAAATAGAACCCTATGGGGTGTTCTAGGAACTGCGGTTACAAGCGAGGTAGCCATCAGTGAGAATAGCTACAGACAGAATACTTACCACCAACGCTTGAATGAGCCGAACCACTGCGCTGTGAGAGTCCGATGTTTTGGACAGTTCGAGCAACTGATTGAGAAATTCGACCAGTTTTGCTGCGCCCGAGTTGCTCACGGTTACCGCCTGAGCGGATGCGGTG